AGATGATCTAATGGATGGTGGTGATTCCCAAGCCTCTTAAGGGAATCTTTGATTTAGCTATGGTGTTGGCTTTATTTAGTTTTTATCTTTGCATTATGATATTATTTGTTTCCTTTGTTTTATTAAACATGGTTAAAATTGAATTAAGAAATTATTTTTATGATTTACTAGTTTTGCATAAATTATCTGTTATTAATTCTAATTATTTGTTTTAGGAATTATCTGCCACTAATATTCCTCAGTGCATGAACTGTTATGCTCTGTTACTTTGTAGTATTTAAGCATGAATTATTTGTGGTTAATTTTGCATTTTTCATATGAATTCGATTTTTGCAAGAATCATTTAGAATATATCATGATAAGTAAACCAGAAGTTTACTAAAATCTCACTTTTTTGGCATAACTTGTTAAACCATTCCAGTTAAATAATAATGTGAATAAGATCCAGAAGATTTTTATGTGTTCGGCTTCCACTCTCCAATAAATTTAGAATTATTGATTTTCTGGTACTTATACAAGAGATATTTTGAACTGATCATCCATTATATTTTGCGAAAGTATTTGGTTAATCGATTAGAGTGAAACCACATTAATTTGCATTTAGCCAACAAATAATCTTCCCAAGATTGGTTTTGGTCAGGAGCCAGATATTTCCCATCTTAAAATTTTGGATATATTGTTGCTCCACCACATTGATCTTAGATGGAACCTCAAAGGAGGTTAAGAATTGTAGGATATAAATCTTCTTTAATAAGGTTTGATTTACAGACTGTTATTTCAATGAGTCAGTTTTTCCAACAATTATAACGAGAGAAGAAAATAAACACTTGGAAAATCAATGAATAATAATTATCTTGATCCTTATTAAAAATGTGCACTAAAAGTTAAAAAGATAATTTTTTTGAAAAGTTATGCCAGAAGCATTTCCTGACCCTGTTGAGTGATACCAGCTGTTCTCCAATTAATATTGATGTCCCAGATGGACAATATCAACTGCTATTGAGGTTAAAGATCGCATGAAGCGTGATAGACCTATTGGTTCCAAAGATATGAATCCTCGAAAAGAAAAATGAGCATATATAAACTGGCAAGGCCGAGGAAGCAATCTCCAGAAGTGACATAGACATGAGAAGAAAGAAATCTAGGTATCTAGTAATGATAAGAGATTTCAACTAGTTGAATCATGTCTTAAATAAATGGAATCAAAAGCAAATCAATGTCGTGCATATAATAAAGCAGTTGATGATGAGAATTGAGGATCAAAAACCATAGTATAAGAAAATGTTTTAAAAAATGTACGTAAAGTGATGATTGGCCAATCATAGAAAAGTCCTAAAATTAAAGTTAGAATCTCTTGCAGATGATTATTTGGACCAGTAGTCCTTATACTTGAAAGTGTAAAACTAGTAAGACATAAATGGATCTTTATGCAAAAAATAAATGAAAATGATATCTGAAACGATATTCTATCTAGTGGTGGATGCAATTATTTTTTTAGATCCTTTGTGAGTTTAATAATGAGAAAAAATGCATGATTTAGGTTACCAAAAATTTAAACTGCCAAAAGCAGACAAGAAGAATTTAAATTGCTAAGAGTAATAAATTCTTGTTCTTCAAGAACACTATACGAAGAAAATATTTTATGTGAAAATAGTGTTATGGACTATAAGTCTAATAAGTTCCAATAAATTGTAAAATTTTAAAAATCATATGAGTGCATTAACAAAGGTTATGATTCTCTAAAGATGATATATATGATTGGTATCCATCTCCTGAAGAAGATGCTTCCATAGGGAGATATATGATAGTTGTGCTCTTTTTCCTTATCATGGTTTTTATCCTATTGGTATATGACAAGGTATTAACGAGGCAGCTGAAAACACAATGGTCATATACATCTACTACAAATTCGTTCAAATGAAGATTTGACGGACTTATGTACCAAGACGTTTCCAACTGCTATTTTCAAGAAGATTGTTCATCATATTGGATCACATTTTCTCAAACCTTTCAAGTGTTGTACTCATGAGGGGGAGTAATAGCGCGCTGCACTCTTTTCCCTTAACTATGGTTTTTCCTATTGGGTTTTCTTAGTAAAGTTTTTAATGAGGCAGCATAATATGTGCTTTACTGCTATTACATTATAATGAACATCCAATAGGGAGTGTTATGAATAATTAATATAGATGCCCATTATAAGGCCCATATAGTGAGGAGGTTTAGAATATTTTGTATTTCCTTATTCTCTAGGTTTTAGCTTCCACCCCAAATCTTTGTAATACTATAAATACCTATCATTATTTATGGAATAAGACACAACAATCTCTCTCTCTTCTCTCTCTTTCTTATTAACAATATATATATATATATATCTTTATTTCAGGCTGTTCTTCTCTTGTCAAGGTAAGGAGTTACTTGACTTAAATAAAAGTTTGTGCTACTCATGTCCCACTGCCACCGGCAAGGGCATTGTATTTTATAATGTTTTATTTTAATCAAAACATTTCCATTTCATCAAAAGAACGTTTCTTACATCTTTGCCCCGCAGGATTACAGCACTAATGCGAAAGATCATACAACAAAGGTTACTGAAATCAAAGAAAGAGTAAATTGTTAGTTAGGAAATAAACTAAACCAAGTGGCCAGAAACGAGGTTGAGGTGTGAAGAGGCTCAGCGTGACAAAGAGGATCAAGACGGCAGCAGATCGTTCTTTTGATCTCCACCATTAAGCTAGGAGCCGGACGAGATGTCGCTGAATGAAGTCTTGAGTTTCTTTCTCTCCATATCCCATAGAGGGACGCTTGGAAGGCCAATTTCATAATCAGCAAGATGTTTCCATCAGGAGAAGGCTTTATGATCCAGAGTAGGAGATGATCGAAGTTGGCCGGAGGAGTTAAGTTGGATGCTGATAAAAAGCCTGCCAAATCTATGTGCTGGAAGGGCAATCAAAGAAGATTTGTTGCCTAGATTCATCTGCGGCATCACACAACAGGTACGAAGAAGGGATATTCAGACCCCAATTTCTAAGGCGGTCTCTGGTATGCATACGATCACTTGCGGTAACCCAGCAAATAAAAGCATGTTTTGGAATTCTGCCTTTGAACCAAACTGCTTTGTGCCAGGGGATCACATGAGTCATTGGGTGCAGAACTAACCAAGTATCCGAAGCAGAGAAATCCTTCGAAGTGCTTGTAGGACCAATTATCCATTTATAAACATCATCAGCTTCAGACAAGGTAATATGCTGAGAGGGAGGGAGGCTTTGATGGATCAACTGGACCCTTGCATTCCTGCTTCTTGAACTCTCATGCCACCATCCCGTAAACCGTCTGCAACCACCGCATTTAAAGGGAGACCACAGCATCGAGGGCAAGATTCACCAGTCAGGTCCATCAGAGGGCCTAGACTTATCCAATTATCAGTTCAGAATTTGGCAGTTATACCTAATTTGACATCACAAAATATGAACAGCGAGCAAGGGTGCGAAGCTTACAATGATGTTTCCAAATCCAACTGCCAGCGGTTAGAAGATTTAGATCCCATGAATTCCTTTCTTGGATAAGAGTTCTGCCTATCCATGAGACCCAGAGAGAGCCACTCGATGTGAAGATCAACCAAATAAGCTTTAATCCCATCATCTTGTTCCAGTCCTGAAGGCGACGCAGACCAAGACCACCTGATTTCCGAGGAGTGTAGACTGAATTCCACGAAATTCTTGTTCCTCTTGCAGAGTTTGGTGCACCACTCCATAAGAAGGCATTACACATTTTCTCCAGCGAAGCAATACACTTCTTGGGGAGAATGAAGACAGAGGTCCAGAAGTTTATGGTCGAGAAAATGACAGACTGGAGAAGTTGAAGCCGACCCGCGAAAGAGAGCTTTTTGACTGTCCAAGAATTAAATCTCTTGTAGACTTTCTCGATTCGAGGCTGATAATCTTCTGCAGACATCTTCTGAGTGGTTAGAGGAACACCCAAATACCTTACCGGAGAGAGCCTTGCGAGAGGCCGTAAGTCTCCGAAAGCTCATGGGCTGCTTGAATATTCCTTTCATCCAAATAGAGGAACGATTTTTCCCTGTTTATTCCAAGACATGAGGCTCTCTTGAAGTCATCCAAAATAGAGAGAATACCTTGCAGAGATTGTTCTGAGCCATCGAAGAAGATCAACATATCGTCTGTGAAGCTCAGATGAGTGATCAAAGAAGCATGGCACTACGGATGGAGGTCGAAGGAATCATTAGCAGCACCCTGGTCCAGCATTTTAGCCAATACATCCATAGCCTGAGCAAAGAGAAGAGATGAAATTGGGTCACCTTGCCTGATTCCCTTTTTCCCTGGAAAGAGCCCAATTAACTCTCCGTTGAGGGCGATACTGTAAGAAGGGGAATAGATACATTCTCTTATCTAGTTTATGAAGATGGGAGGAAGCTCAATAGCGAGAAGAATGTTGATGAGAAATTCCCAGTTCAGATAATCAAAGGCCTTCGTGATATCAATTTGAAGGCAGCCTCTAGTAATAATTCCTGGTTTGTGAAAATTGTCGACCAATTCTGATGCCAGTAGAACGTTCTCGCAGAGGATGCGGCCTTTGATAAAACCCTCCTGGTTAGCTTGGACAGCTTCTGGGATAAACAGTTGGAGTTTTTTCTTGAGCAAGTGGACAATAATTTTATAGACGTTTGAGCAGCATGAAACCGGTTTGAAGCCAGAGAGCGTAGCGCACCCGGAGTTTTTGGAAGGCCTGAGAAGATGCCTAGAAGCAAAGAATTCTGTGACCGCCTTGATGGTATCATCAACCACTATCTGCCAAGAATTCCAGAAAAATTCCATTGGGAAACCGCCGGGCCCAGGGGCCTTATTCTTTGTCATACCAAACACTATGGCAGAGATTTCTTCGCTGGTGGGAATCATGATGAGCTGGGTCGATAACGAGGTGGAGAAGCAAAAAGGTTGTAACGCTTAGATTTTCTCAACAGACAGAGGAGAGATGCCATTGGTCTAAGAGTCGAGAAGGAAAGTATAGTATGCAATGATCATTTCCTTAATCTGGGAGATATCATCAATTGTGGTACCTTGAGAGTCCCAAAGAATCCGAATAGCATTTCTGGCCTGGTTTGCAACCACCACTTTGTGGAAGAATGTGGTGTTTGCGTCTCCATCCTTGAGCCACCGGAGTCTCGATTTTTGTCTGAAGAATGATTCCTGAGCATCGGCGAAGAAGTTCCATACCTTTCTCGCTTCAGATTCCTCAATACAAAGCGACTGCATGGGATTCCGAAGCAAAGCTTCTTGAATGGATTCCAGCTTCGCCAAAGAGTCTTTTGCCTTTTTGATGAATATTATCAAAACCTTCCCTGTTTAATTTTCTGCAGCAAGACTTCACCTCTTTCAATCTCTGCCCGAGCGAGAACATCGCATTACCCACACAAATCGGGGTCGTTCCAAGCTTCTTGAAACTTGGCTAAGTAATTTGGATGGGAAGTGAGGAAAGTGAAGTATTTGAAAGCCTTTTTGGAGCTTGGCATCGAGGAATCAAGATCGATCAAACATGGAGTGTGATACGAGTCGCCGGAAGGGTCAAACACCGCTAAGGCATCTGGATATGTTGAAAGACCAATGTCAATGATGAGAGCGCGGTCCAGTTTCCTGAGGATGGGTTCTTCTCTCGATTATTATACCAAGTGTAAGAAGCTCCTCTATGAGGCAAAGATTACTTTGAGTTAAGCAGTCTTGGAATTTTGTAATGCCCTAGAGAGATATCGTGGAGGGGAAAACAGAGTAAATATTCTGAAAGTAGAAGCAATCTGGTTGAAGTCACCAGAAATAATCCAAGGAGTCAGACTAAGAGGAGATGTAGAAGACAGACGGTTGATTTCAGTCCATAGGGTTCTTCTCTGAATCTCAGTATTATGAGCATATACAAATGCCACCGCAAAGGAAGGAGAGGAGTCTGAAATCTGAACGCTGCAGAGGATTAACTGAGATGATTTAGAGAAGATGATGACTGAGACAGCAGGATCCCAGACAATCCAGATCCTGCCATTTTCAGCATGAGAGTAATTATTGTCGAAACACCAACCAGGTAGGGTGGAGGACATTATTCTAACAGCATTGCCTTCTTGCACATGCGTTTCCAAAAAACTTCCAACAAGAGGTTTGTTTGTATGAACCCAGCCTCTAACTGCTCTTTACCTAGCAAAACTGTTCAAACCTCTTACATTCGAAAAGAAAACCTTCATTATATACACCAAAAAAGGAAGGTTGAGGACCAGATTAAAGGATAGATGCACTTGTGGAGCCCGGGTCTCCATCATGCGCAGGGAGTATTTGAAACCGTCAAATTTAGCAATCAAAGCCAGAGTATCTTGCCGAAGCTTCTTGCTGGCCAAAAGCTGAGTGTGCACCTGTCTCTCTTTTTTTTTGCCTTTTTGCGTTGGGAAGAAGACATCTGAGTTGGAGGACCAGGCTTTGGAGGAGCAATAATATATTTCTCACGCCCCAGCTTCACTTTGGACTGCTCAGGAGGATCCTTAGGAGCAACAGCGGGAGCAGTCTTTGAACTTGCCGTCACTACATTGCATTTCTCCTCTGTGGAAGTGGCTAAGGGGGCTTTAGGAGCAGCTTTTGGGGAAGACCTCTTTAGGACTTTGACCTCTTGTCCCGCAGGGATGACCGGAGGGGTACTCTTAGCTCGAGTTCTGGGACAAGTTGGTGATCTGGATCTAGCACACTGATTAGGGAGGGAGCTACTTTCAGATGGAGGATCAGGGTCTTTAATGATCGGTCCATTAGCAGGAATCTGCGGAGGGGATTCCGAGGAAGAGTCGACTCCTTTAGGAATTGAAGGGGATTTGATCTCCCTTCCTTTGAAGGCTTGAGATTTCTTTGTAATTAGCCTTGGACAACGGTTCATCAAGTGACCATATCGCCCACAGTTCACACACTTGGGAGGAAGCTGTGGATAAGAAACCGAGACTCTGGCAGAGTTGCCGAAGGAATCCTGGACGATGATCGTTTCAGGAGGAGAACTGTCGAGTATAATTTCAACTTTCACCTTTGTTTCACCAATGTTCACCGCTTCAAGCCTGGACTTCTCCTTGTGCAAAGGATCGCCGATTGCACTCGCAATGACACTCAGTCCGACAAGGGAGTAGAGCATCAGAGGCACATTTTTAGTGTTGCCCATGTTGGAGCAGATTCAAGCTTCGGAGTTCCAAAGCACCGGAGGGGGACTAAGGCGAGACCACAAACGAGCAGTTGCCTGCATGCCAAAACCCATTCTCTGGTTGCTACTGAAAGTATGAAGATGAGGCAGGCAAAATCTGAAATCTTGCGCATCGTTATGCTCCCGAATTTTCCCCAAATAGGGTTTAGGTCAGCGAAAACGACATAAGCCCATGGAAGATGACCATGGAACTGAGAAATAATGTGACCTTCCATTGCTCAGATGCCTTTAAAATTATCGAGTCAGGCACCTGGACAATGGGAGTGTCATCTTCAAAGAAGGACGGAGGAGACATCTTTCGCAAATTTTTGAGGAAGGCTGTAAATCGCGAAGCGTACGGAGGCGCCGCCGACGAGGGAATCACCTCCGATTTAGAAGGATTAGTAGCTGAGGATAACTTTCTGGCATAAGTGCATTGAGTCGAAACTGAAGAAGAAGCAGGAGGCTCCACATTTAAGATAGCCTCCTTTGCAGGAGCAGAGATCGAGGACGCCAAGAGAGCCGGAGAGGAAGATGACGCCGGGAGGGCATGGGACGAAGAGGACTCCAGGGAGAGAGAATCTGGTGGGCAGACCACGACGGAGCAAGAGGGAGCGACCAGATCTGGAACTGCGGGTATCTGAGGAGGATTTCGGATCTGGAAGGTCTGGCGACGGCGAAGAAGAAGCAGGGTGAACCGACATCAGAAGAGGACAAGGAAAAGAAATTTAGAGGGGGGAGAAAGCAAGAATTCTCGTCAACCAGCACGAGGCCAGGTCGACGGCATGACACCAAAAGGAATCGCGGCTACACTCTCTCATGCATACTTACCAAGAAAATTGCCCTTTTTCCATTATCTTTTCGAGTTTCTTTTGTATAATTAATAATATAGTTCAATCAATCTGATTAAAAATCATCCTTTTTCATTTGTACATTCTGTATTTTATAATGTTGCTGATCGGTTCTCAGTCAATAACTGAATCGGAACCAAAAACCGAAAATTAAAACCACAGGTCTAAAAGTAAAACTGTTATAATAATAGGTACAATTTATCATATAGATAAATATAAATAAAGACGAAAATTTTATACTCGCAAAAGAACAGGATACTCGTAAAAGAGAGAGCAAGAGAGTAAGAGAGAGAGGAGGATGTTATTGAGAATGAAAATGTGTTGTGTTTACAATCGAAGAATTTCCTTCGTATATATAGACGTAAAAAGTTTGAGTTACTATGCGTAAATAGTGAAGGCAGGCTCCACAAATTTACTCATGTTTTTCATCTATCGCCACAATGTTTGACTTTGTAGATTGCTGCTTTTCCTGACTTTTGTAACACTCCCCCTTGGAGACCGGCTTTACTATTTCTTCTTTTGCGTTTTGTCTTTGTTGCCTCGTTAAAAATCTTTCCAGGAAAAGCTAGTGGGAAAAACCATGGAAGGTAAAAAGAGTACAACTATGCAAGTTCGCCCTTGAATGACTAGATGTCATTCTATAAGTCTCGTTGATGGCGCATTCCAATATTATGAACATGTTTTCGGAACATAGTGGTCGACAATGATTTCATGAAGAGCTCTGCTGCGTTTTCGCAAGATCGGACATATCTTACTTCAATTTCTTTATTCTTCTCGAGCTCTTGAGTGTATGAGAAGAACTTTGGAGGGATATGTTTGGTTCTATCACTTTTGATATAACCTTCCTTTGTCTGGGCAACACATGCAGCATTGTCTTCATATAAGATAGTTGGTTCCGTAATTACGCGAATTCCACTGCTTGACTGGATATGTTGACTTATTGATCTCAGCCATACACATTCTCTGCTTGCTTCATGGAGCGCGATAATTTCAGCGTGATTCGAAGAAGTGGCCACGAGCGTGTGCTTCTGAGAACGCCAAGATATAGCAGTGCCTCCGATCGTGAATACATATCCTGTTTGTGATCGGGCTTTATGTGGATCCGATAAATATCCTGCATCTGCAAAACCAATCATTTGACCTTTTGAATTTTTAGGATAGAGCAAACCTAAATCAATAGTCCCTTGGAGA